TGCCCGCTGCCTCCCACCCAGTGTCCCCTGAGCAGATCGGGCGGCTGACAGGCTTCTTTTCCTCCTCAGCGACTTCGAGCAGCTTCCCGACGACGTGGCCGTCTCAGCCAACATCGCTGACATCGAGGAGAAGAGGGGCTTCACCAGCCACTTTGTAAGAGAAACCCCTGGACCCTCACCCTCTGCCCGCTGACCTCTGAACCTTAACTCTCCTGTCTCTTAACTTCCACCCAGCGGTTCTTGGCAGGGCGGTTCTGCCCTCAGGGGGCGTGTGGCAGTCGGTACCCACTGGCATTTTTATTGTTACCACGTGGTGTGGGGGCGATACTGGCACCCAGGGGTGGAGGCCGGGGACGCTGCCCCACACACCGCCCTGCACAGGACGGCCCACGACCAAGAATCATTTGGCCTCCTGAGGTTGAGAAACCCTGCTCTAACCCTGGGAGCCTGGAGCCGCCCCCTCCCCTGCCCCTGGCCTCCGAGGTCCTACCCCCTGGCCTCTGTCCTAGGTTTTCGTCATCGAGGTGAAGACGAAAGGGGGATCCAAGTACCTCATCTACCGCCGCTACCGCCAGTTCCACGCCCTGCAGAGCAAGCTGGAGGAGCGGTACGGGCCCGAGAGCAAGACCAGCGCCCTCCCCTGCAACCTGCCCGCCCTCCCAGGTAGGCCGGCCGCTCCCAGGCCTGCTTCGGGCAGAGCTGGGCCCTGGCTGAGGACAAAGCCATGTCCACCTGCCCCCTCCCAGCTCTGCGGACACTGCTCGGTCCTGTGCTGGCCCACGTGGAGGCAGGCCCTGATCCACGCCCTCCCCTGGCAGCATGGCTGCCCTCTGGCTCCAGCCTCAGAGCCCCTGACTTCTATGCACTGAGCACCTTCACGCTGCAGTCCCCCCACCCCCAGTGACCATGCCATGGTGTGGAGCGCGTGCGTCAGGCCTTGTGTGTCTCCTTCATTAATCACGCAGACTCATCTTGCAGCCCTCGCTCCGGCCCCTCCATGAGAACTGCCTCCTGCCTGCGCAGTCCTGGCTCCCCCGGGGCCCATGGCGCCCCCTCCTTCGCTGCTCTGCTGAGAGGCTGTGGGCAGCACAGCTCTGCTTCTGGGCAGCCTCTCGCCCCTCACCCCTCGCCCCCTGGCCTTCCCACCTCGAGCCTAACTTGCACCTTGGACGGGCCCAAACCTCTGACTTCTCAGTTCCTGCCCCGCCGAGCCCTGCAAGAGAAATCCCCACCCACGTGGTCCTGGGGGACCCTGCACGCCTGCAGGCCACACACAAGCGTCTCTCCCCCAAAGACAGAGCCCTTCAGGCCCTTTCCTTCTTCGAGCACAAACCCACCCCTACTAGCTCCTGCTTCCTCTCCGTCTACAAATGCCCACGGGTCCTCCCCACCAGCTCCGGAGGGGCTGCAGCCAATCCCAGGGACTCCGGCTTCTCTTTCCTCCTTTGGAGTTGGACTTGCTTGCTCCAGCCTCTTCCCCTCTCTGGGCTGCAGAGGAAAGCGGGGTCCCTCCTGCTCCCGGAGGGTCTCCGCAGGCAGCCTGTCCGCGTGTGCCCTGTGCCCTCACCTTCTTTACATCTCGAATCCGCCAAGTGCCCACCCAGGCTCACCTCGTCCATCTCTACACAAACAGGAGCCGTGGGTGAGCGTTCTTGCAACAGCCTCCTTGATCCCAAACCCCTCAAGGATCTCTTCTTCCTTTTTTTTTTTAAATATATTTTATTGATTTTTCACAGAGAGGAAGGGAGAGGGACAGAGAGTCAGAAACATCGATGAGAGAGAAACAACGATCAGCTGCCTCCTGCACACTCCCCACCGGGGATGTGCCCGCAACCAAGGTACATGCCCATGACCGGAATGGCACCTGGGACCTTTCATTCCGCAGGCCGACGCTTTATCCACTGAGCCAAACCGGCTGGCGCGCGAGCCGCAGTTTGCCAACCACTGGGCTAGACTTTTTTTAAAAAAATATATTTTATTGATTTTTTACAGGGAGGAAGGGCGAGAGATAGAGAGCAAGAAACATCGATGAGAGAGAAACATCCATCAGCTGCCTCCTGCACATCTCCCACTGGGGATGTGCCCTCAACCAAGGCACATGCCCTTGGCCGGAATCGAACCCGGGACCCCTGAGTCCGCAGGCCAACGCTCTATCCACTGAGCCAAACCGGTCAGGGCTCTTCTTCCTTTTACAATAAGTCCTCGCTCGCTGCCTCCCCTTCCCATGGCCCACCCGCTGCTCAGCCCACCACCGCGGCCTCAGCTCTTCCTGCTCCACTGTGTTCCCCTCGGATGGTGGCCTGCGGCCGGTTCACTCTGACTTCGGTGGACACGGACGCCTCTCAGGCCTCGTCTTTATGGTCTTGCCTCCTCTTCCAGGAAGCTCTCTCCAAACTTCCGTGGCCCCGGCGTCTTCCAGTTCCTTCCTACCTCACTGCTGCTCCTCCAGGGTCTCCTTTAGACTCAGGGCTCCCTTCTGGGCGGGGCCCCCCTGAGAGGATGCCCTACAGCCCCATGGGCAGCTCCTCGAGGGGACGTTTGTGTCCCTCTCCCCCCAGACACTCGGCCTCGCCTTTGAAGAAGGATTCATTCATCCGCTCAGCAAATATGTGCTGATTTGGGGAACATTCTAGACGGGTGGTCCTTAATCTTGGCGGCATATTGGAAGTCACTTGAGATTTAAAATTCCTAATGCCCGGGCCCCTGCCCTAGGCATTCTGACCCAATGGTTCTGGGGTGAGTCCAGCACAGTGAGGTTTCTGACGGCGGCTGGATGTGCAGCAGCGATGAGGGCCCCTCTCCTAGGTGATGGGGACACGGCCGTGAGCATGTGTGTGTGTGTGTGTGTGTGTGTGTGCGCATGTGTGTGTGGGGGTATGTGTGCGCATGTGTGTATGTGTACGCGTGTGTGTATGTGTGTGCATGTTGTGTGTGTGTGTGTGCGCGCGCATGTGTGTGTGGGGGTATGTGTGCGCGTGTGTGTATGTGTACGTGTGTGTGTATGTGTGTGGGGGTATGTGTGCGCGTGTGCGTATGCATATGTGTGTGTGTGTGTGCATGTGGGGGGTATGTGTGCGCGCGTGTGTATGCGTATGCGTGTGTGTGCATGTGTGTGGTGGTATGTGTGCGCATGTGTGTATGCGTGTGAGTGCATGTGTGGGGGTGTGTGTGCGCGTGTGTGTATGCGTATGCGTGTGTGTGCATGTGTCGGGGGGTATGTGCGCGCGCGCGTGTGTGTATGTGTGTGTGTGTGTGTGTGTGTGTGTGGTGGGGGCAGCCAGGTAACACATACACAATTAATACAAGCCAAGTACCAGCCGGTGATCCTGTGACTCGGAGAATGCGAGTTGGACGGTGGGGTGGTACAGAGCGCCACTTCCGCGCCTGGAAAGATGAGGGGAGGGACCTTGACCCATGGGGAGGAGCCCAGAGACCCGGTGCTTGGGCTGGGCCCCCAGGACCCACTGCTCTTCGTCTCTCCTCAGCCAAAGTCTACATGGGTGTGAAGCAGGAGATCGCCGAGATGCGGATACCTGCCCTGAACGCTTACATGAAGGTAACGGCGGGGCCACGCACCCTGGCACCTGGGAGGGGTGGGTGGGGCCCAGGTGCCATCTCCGAGCACAGCTTTGGGAACAGGGGCTGGTTCTCTGGCTCTGATGAGCCACATCTCCAATCCTTAAAGGCCTGACCCTCAGGCCTCCAGCGGGTGGGGATGGCGCCGGAGCAAGGGAGATGGAACTTTGAACTGACAAATACAGTGCCTGTGCCGGGCGTTCTGATATGGAGGTGGCTGGGGCCTGCTGCCTGCCTCCGAGGTGCTCACTGCCCAGTGGAACATGGGCAGGTGGGTCATGAAGTCACCAAGAGGCTTGGCCTACACCCTGGGGCACGAGAGGCCAAGGCGACAGCTCCCTCACTTGGCATCTTTGTGCGAACGGGAGGAAGGCCTCCTTGCCAGGGCCCAGCTGCTGTTAGTGTCATTCAGGGGCCTTGGCTGGGTGCCCTTGTTTATTCCCCATCCTATACATTGTCGGCATCCCTGGGCGATGGGGAGGCAGGGGAAGGGGCCTCTTAAAGGCAGGGACCAGGCTGGTATGGGAAGACCTTTCATGGAACGGAGCTAGGCAAGAAAGGAACCGTGTTCCTCGTGTGGTAGTGAGCACGCTGTCACTGGAGGCATACAAGCCATGCGGGATGGCAGCTGCAGGAAACTAGAAAAGGAAGCGTCCTCATAGCCCAGAGGCAAGCTCGCTTTCCTCCTCCACTCTCACGGCAAAGAGCACTGAGCTAGGGTCGCTTTAGTCTTTGCTCAGACGTCGACTGTCTCGGAGATTTGGGGTGAGCTGCCCATCCTCGCTGGGCCCTGGGTTTCCCGCTTATGAAATGCGGCAGCGCCTGCAGGTCTCCTAGGGGTGGCGTGGGGATCCGTTGAGAAAAGGACACGAAGGTGCTTTGGAAACTGAGATCATGACTCCCCGAGGAGTGAGGGTAGGACTGTGGAGGTGGGAGGAGGGGTAGATGGCCCACCTCCCTCTCTGGTGGCTAGGGAACCAGCCGTGGAGGCATCTCCCCTCCAGAGGGCGCTGTGGCAGCTGCTCCTCCAGCGTGTCTGGAAGGCCCACCCTCCTCTCAAAGACCTGGGAGAGGAGAGTGTGCGCTGAGGGAGGGGAAGATGCTGCAGAGCTGCATCCCACACGTGGTCTCTGCAGCCAGCAGCCCGGAGGACCCCATCCCTGCCTCGCGCTGTCCAGTTTGATTCCTCGAAGCCCAGAGCTCAGTCAGTGCAAGAAGCTCTGCTGGGATGACCCCATCCTGTGCTTGCACACTTGCGGAGATGGGAAGCTCACTACCACTCTCCCCTGACCCAGGCTGCTTGGCCCACTGTTGGACAGCTCTAAGGAGAGCCTGGGTCCCTCCCCCCACGGGTCTCCTGATGGAGAATGTGGGTCACGTGATGGTGACAACGGCCTGGAACTATGTGAGCGCTTTGACTAGCGACAGGGGGGCCCTTAGTCTGCATTCGGCAGAAAGATGAACGGGCTCATTTGCTTCCGTCAGTGAGTTGTGCATTAGATACTATTAACCTTATTTTAAAATGAGGGAGGGAGGCACAGAGAGGTAGTCACTCACTCAGTGTCACAGAGCAGGGAGGGAGGAGGGGTAGGATTTGAACTCACATCTCTGAGACTCTAGTTGTGCTCTTACCCACTGTGCTGTGTCGTAATGAAAATAACAGCAACATTGGTGAGATCTCACTTGGACGGGTCACTTGCTAGATGCCGGATGGGGTTCTGTGGGGTAATCCCTTTATTTGATCCTTACACAACCCCAGGAGGGAGATGCTGGAATCACCCCCATGTTATTAGTGAGCACATGGAGGCCCAGAGTCACCCCGCTGGTGAGCGGCCAAGCCGGGATTAGATCTGGGTGCAGCCTGGCTCAGTGTCTGTGCGCTCAGACCCAACTCTGGGCTGCCCCCAGCCCTCCTCTGGGACAGCTGTGCTTCCTCAGGCTCTGTGCTCCCAGTTCCTCAGGAATGGGGTTCCTGACCGCGCCCCCGTCCCCCTCCTCCCACTGCCTCCATGAGATTCTCTGAGGAGGTCTGGGTTCTGTGCATCTGTGGGGGTTCAGCACCCAGAGCTAAGCACAGAGTTCCTGGGGGCCTGTGCGGTCCTGGGTCCTCACGCCTCATGGTCTGCATCGTGGTGGTGCTCCTAGCCTCAGATCGAGTGAGAGTCCTGACCCCACCACTTCCTAGCTCTGCCAACTGGGCCAGGCACTGTCCCTCTCTGCACCTCAGTTTCCCCAATTGTGATATATGATAAAGTATAGGACAGGGGTGGGCAACCTCTTTGTGAGTGCGTGCCCAAACCAGCAAAATCTCTGACTCAAAATTCTTCTGCATGCCAACCCTACTTTTTTGAGAACATGTTACGCCTACTTGATATCTCTGAAGGTGTACGTATGTGAAGAACCTTGAAGAAATAATAAAATTCATTCGAGCGACAAAAACACAGTATATGATGATGAAAAATAACAAGCGTATGTGGATGAAACCAAAACACTGGTCGGATCTAGGAAGGCTGGGAGAGTTAAGGCAGAGGCATAGAAATTGCTCTTCCCCTCTCTCATCAATCCATGTCTATGGCCTTTAAGATAACTTGTTATGTAAAATTATTTATTTATCTAAGATGCACCTACACTGAATTTATCTGAAAAATAAAAAAGTCGATATTAAGAAAAAATTGTAAATGGAAGATTATAAGAGAGGGTTTGCGTGCCAGCAAAAATTACTGGCGTGCTATGTTTGGCACGTGTGCCAGGGGTTGCCCACCCCTGGTATAGAAAGTGTTTTTTAGGCCATAATATCACCAATTGTTGTTATTTGGGATCATTTGGGGGATTGCTCCCCCCCCAATGTCTCATTTTGAGCTAAGGGTTGGGCATTGGTGGCAGATGGCGCTGAGTGCTCCCCCTTGAGCACTTGCTGGGCTGTGTGGCCTCAGGCAGGTCCCGGCACCTTTCTGAGTTAGGGCCAGAAGCGGTAAGACGGAGTGAGGTCACATGGTGGGGCACTCAGTGCAGAGCCTGGACAGGCACCGCCGTGTCCTGTGACCTGGCATCACCTGCACTGTCCAGCCTGGAGGTCTTTTCCAAACGAACTCTTCTTTGTGAAATGTTACCTGAGCCCATTGAAATGGTTAACATCTCCCCCTTTTCTGTTACCAGGCAGAGAAGAGGGGGTGCAGTGTGGGTGGAGGGATGGAGCCGTGGGGCTGGGGTGCGCACGCCTTGCTGATGACCACCCTCCTGTCTCGTCCGACCTCTCGCCCAAACACAGAGCCTCCTCAGCCTGCCCATCTGGGTGCTGATGGACGAGGACGTCCGCATCTTCTTCTATCAGTCGCCCTACGACTCGGAGCAGGTGCCCCAGGCGCTCCGCCGGCTCCGCCCACGCACCCGGAAGGTGTAAGTGACATCCCGCATTCCGGGGGCCAGAGCCTAGGGCCACTTCCTCCTAACCAGGGGCTCTGCACCCCTCTTTTCCCTGGAGGCAGGGAAGAAACCGAGACCAGTTCTGTCCTGCAGAAAATTATTGAAAATCAGCCACTGAATCAGGCTGGGTTTCCCAAGGCGAGGCTGCTGCTGCTGAGGGTGCCAGGGGAGGCACTTCTGAGCACGACCCTCCCCCGACCCCCAACCCCCCTCGGATCCTGCCTCCAGCCAGTACCTGGGAGTGCCTTCAGTGCCCAGCTACCTCCTCAGACGGGCACAGGCTGAATCCCATCCCTGGTCCCTGGAGCAGGGATGTCTCCTCCCCATGCCCGGGTCCTCGGTGAAGCATTCTATATAATAAAAGGCTAATATGCAAATCGACCAAACGGTGGAACAACCAGTTGCTATGGTGCACACTGACCACCAGGGGGCAGGTGTTCAGTGCAGGAGCTGCCCCCTGGTGGTCAGTGCACTCCCATAGGGGGAGCACTGCTCAGCCAGAAGCCAGACTAACAGCTGGCAAGAGCAGCGGCAGTGGCTGGAGCCTCTCCTGCCTCCATGGCAGTGCTAAGGATGTCTGAGGGCTCCCAGACTGCAAGCGGGCGCAGGCTGGGCTGAGGGACCACCCTCCCCAAGTGCACGAATTTCATGCACCGGGCCTCTAGTTAGAATAATAACATAACTGTAGAAGTTGGGGAGTAGAAGAAAGGCAAATGTAAGATGTCTGGCAAGATAGGGCTCTAAGTGGCTGTGTTCCCACTCTCACCCCCACCTTCTTTCTCAGCCTCTGCTTCCTGGTCCACAAAGGGGTCCAATCTCTCCTCCAGGGGCAGCAAGAAGGGGGAGGGGGTGAATGACGGCCCGCAGGAGTGATTGCACCTACCTCTGGCACAGAAGCAGAGACTGGGCCCAGAGAACCGGGAGTGCTGACACCCCCTCTTCTCTCTCTGCAGCAAGAGCGAGTCCCCGCAAGGCACCGGCTTAGACCGCTTGGCAGCTCCGAGAGCAGAGGTACCTGCGGGCCTGCCCCCCCACTTCCCCTCTGGGCAGCTCCACCCTCAGCGGGAGCCCCTCCTGCTGGCTGTTGGCTTGTGTCTAGGGTGGGGCTGGGTACTGCCGGGAGGAAAGGCCCAGCCTCCGCCTTGGTCACTGGTCACCGAGGCCCCCAGCTCAGCTGTGAGGAGGGGACGCGATGAGCATACAGAGGCAGAATAGAGTGTCCAGCCACCCACTCAGCAAGCTTTCCTGGGCCCCCTGGGCCAGCCCTGCTGGGGACTAATGCAGCAGAGATGACAAGGCCCTGTCCTCCAGGAGCGCATGGCTCCCCGAGGACACACACATAAACACGTGCGTCTCAGAGCCAGTGCGTCAGTGCCTGCAGGTTCTGGGGGCGCTGGAGCTAACACAGGCCTGGGGGTCAGGGAAGGTGCTGGATCCAGGGAGACTGGCTCCTTCCCTCCCGTGCTCACCACACCTGTGGAAGGAGCATCCACTCTGGAGTCCGGGAGACCTGGGTTCTAATCCCGGCTGCTCTGGTAACTAGTGGAGTGGCCTCAGACAAGTCACTCATGCTCCGAGCCTCAGCTTCCTCACCTGTTAAATGGGACACCAAGCAAGCACTTTAGTAGGAACTCAGCGCCTGTTTCCTTCCTCCCGCCTCCTCCATTCTTCTCCCCAGGCCCTGTTTGACTTCACGGGGAACAGCAAGCTGGAGCTGAATTTCAAAGCTGGAGATGTGGTCTTCCTTCTCAGTCGCATCAACAAAGACTGGCTGGAGGTGAGGGTGGAGGCGAGGGTGGAGGTGAGAGTGGAGGCGAGGGTGGAGGTGAGAGTGGAGGCGAGGGTGGAGGTGAGAGTGGAGGCGAGGGTGGAGGTGAGAGTGGAGGCGAGGGTGGAGGTGAGAGTGGAGGCGAGGGTGGAGGTGAGAGTGGAGGCGAGGGTGGAGGTGAGAGTGGAGGCGAGGGTGGAGGTGAGAGTGGAGGCGAGGGTGGAGGTGAGAGTGGAGGCGAGGGTGGAGGTGAGAGTGGAGGCGAGGGTGGAGGTGAGAGTGGAGGCGAGGGTGGAGGTGAGAGTGGAGGCGAGGGTGGAGGTGAGAGTGGAGGCGAGGGTGGAGGTGAGAGTGGAGGCGAGGGTGGAGGTGAGAGTGGAGGCGAGGGTGGAGGTGAGAGTGGAGGCGAGGGTGGAGGTGAGAGTGGAGGCGAGGGTGGAGGTGAGAGTGGAGGCGAGGGTGGAGGTGAGAGTGGAGGCGAGGGTGGAGGTGAGAGTGGAGGCGAGGGTGGAGGTGAGAGTGGAGGCGAGGGTGGAGGTGAGAGTGGAGGCGAGGGTGGAGGTGAGAGTGGAGGCGAGGGTGGAGGTGAGAGTGGAGGCGAGGGTGGAGGTGAGAGTGGAGGCGAGGGTGGAGGTGAGAGTGGAGGCGAGGGTGGAGGTGAGAGTGGAGGCGAGGGTGGAGGTGAGAGTGGAGGCGAGGGTGGAGGTGAGAGTGGAGGCGAGGGTGGAGGTGAGAGTGGAGGCGAGGGTGGAGGTGAGAGTGGAGGCGAGGGTGGAGGTGAGAGTGGAGGCGAGGGTGGAGGTGAGAGTGGAGGCGAGGGTGGAGGTGAGAGTGGAGGCGAGGGTGGAGGTGAGAGTGGAGGCGAGGGTGGAGGTGAGAGTGGAGGCGAGGGTGGAGGTGAGAGTGGAGGCGAGGGTGGAGGTGAGAGTGGAGGCGAGGGTGGAGGTGAGAGTGGAGGCGAGGGTGGAGGTGAGAGTGGAGGCGAGGGTGGAGGTGAGAGTGGAGGCGAGGGTGGAGGTGAGAGTGGAGGCGAGGGTGGAGGTGAGAGTGGAGGCGAGGGTGGAGGTGAGAGTGGAGGCGAGGGTGGAGGTGAGAGTGGAGGCGAGGGTGGAGGTGAGAGTGGAGGCGAGGGTGGAGGTGAGAGTGGAGGCGAGGGTGGAGGTGAGAGTGGAGGCGAGGGTGGAGGTGAGAGTGGAGGCGAGGGTGGAGGTGAGAGTGGAGGCGAGGGTGGAGGTGAGAGTGGAGGCGAGGGTGGAGGTGAGAGTGGAGGCGAGGGTGGAGGTGAGAGTGGAGGCGAGGGTGGAGGTGAGAGTGGAGGCGAGGGTGGAGGTGAGAGTGGAGGCGAGGGTGGAGGTGAGAGTGGAGGCGAGGGTGGAGGTGAGAGTGGAGGCGAGGGTGGAGGTGAGGGTGGAGGAGAGGATGGAGGTGAGGGGGGAGGGGAGAGTGGAGGTGAGGGGGGAGGTGAGAGGGGAGGGGAGGGTGGAGGTGAGAGGGGAGGTGAGGGTGGAGGTGAGGGTGGAGGTGAGTGTGGAGGTGAGGGTGGAGGTGATGTAGAGGTGAGGTTGGAGGCGAGGTTAGAAGTGAGGATGGAGGTGAGGGTGGAGGTAAGATTGCTTTGGGTCTAGTGAGAGGATCAGAGAATGATAGGAGGTCAAGGAAGTCCCCGGGAAGTTGCAGTTTGGGGATGGACCTGGGCAGGTGGGAATCTAGCCCCTGGGGAGACATGACTGTGGAGCCTACACCTGCCTTTAGTTCTGCCTGCCCCCAAGAAACAGTTGATTGAGCCCACTCCGTTAACCTGCTGGGTTTAAGTTCTTGGTCTGTCACGTGGTTTCTCAGCCACGGCGGTATTGACGGCGGTATTGACATTGGGCCGGTTAGTACTTTGTTGTGGAGCCGGCCTGTGCACTGTAGGATCTTTAGCAACATCCTTGGTTTCTATCCACTGGATGCCGGTCGCAAGGCTCCAGATGCAACAATCAAATATGTCTCCAGACATTTGCCCCCGTGGGGCAACCCCCCACCCCCCCACCCTACCACCGCCCC